TCTGCTAAGGTATGGAATAATGGAAAAGCCAGGGGTCCATTTATGCAAAAATAACTGGTCTAAAGTCCATCAAATGTATTAACGGCAAGGGCAAACTGTGCAGTTGTGTGGAACCTGAGTGATTCTATTGTCCAGCTTTTCCTATGTTTTTCCTTGGTTATGTCATGTCTGTATTTACCATGAGGAGATGAAATTAGAAACCTGAAAATTAAAATTTAGATTACAGACTTATGACAACTGTCACAAAAGACTACAGAAATTGGAGCTCTTGGATATTTTCTTGACGATGCTGATACTGATTGTTTAGACAAAGTAATGGCCGATAAGCTCTGCCAGTATTTTTGGGAAAGTATACAGAGCCGATTTTTATTTTTTTTTCCTCTAATTATCCTATTTAAATTTACTAGAAAGTCCCCACAGCCCTTTTTTACCACAAACCCATGGCTGTACAGTGACATTTTGTGCAGTTTTTGCTTCATATTAAAGTGTTAAAATGAATCTTTGTGTTTATTTTTAGGCAGCAGATTGACCAAAACAAAATATCGGCCTGTGCTGGAAGGGATAAAGGGATAAATATGCTTAAAAGTCTAAATATAGGTCTATCTCTAATAAAAATGTTTAATTAAAAGTAAAACAAACTTGCAGTACAATCTTCAATATAAAAAAGTGCTGTTTGTTAGTGTACTAGATATTTCTGTTCTTTTGTGTTTTAATTTTACTTTTCAGTTTGAACAACATGAGCATCTCAACCACGACATAGTGTGCACATAGGGCATATTTCTAATAGAATGATGCTAAATATGGCACTGTGGGTCATGTACCAGCCGTCAGAGGGTCAGGCAGACCTTCTTAAGATTAGTTATTTATATTAAGCCACATTTTGATGCACTTCAGGTTTTACTGCATCTCATCTTTGTCTCATTAAATCCATAAATGCAAGTTAGCTTGCTTAATTTTGTGTAGTGAAGGATTCAACGTTGGTAATTTGGACTGCGATGCAACCAGATGAGCACCTCTGAATACTTCAACGTCAAACAACTACTGGATGAATGAGGGTTTGCACCGTCTTGCTTAATTTGATCTTTATATTTTGTGGACTACTTCCCTCTCCCCTCTGTTCCCTCTGTAACTTCAAAGGTGCATTATGTAACTGTTTTGTTAGGGGTCCGTCACCTGCTTGTTTCTATGGATATGTCATTTCTCTAACTGGATTTCCACAGTATGACTTTAAGCAGCTCTATCTTACATTTATCAGGGCAGCCAGAGGGTCTTAAAAGTCTTGAAAAAGGTCTTAAGTTTCATATTCCTAAATTAAGGCCTTAAAAAGTCATAAATTATGTTGTCCAAGTCTTATTTTTTTCACAAAGGTCTGAAATTTCTTTTGTATACTCAACTGGGCTGCAGTGCAATGTTAAACGGAGGGAGTAAAAAAAACACAACAACGTGAAATCATGTATCGTGAATGAACGTCTAATTTGGAGTATGCACAAACGATACTTTGGTTTCAGGCCGGCGGCAATGAGTAGACAATCAGTTCCGTCTACACTGCCCAAGACGTAAAACTCTGGTCAGATCTGCTCATCACCTAGCATCACCACTGAGCCGCCTGGCATGCATACACAATCGAATTCCACACACTTTTGCGTCACCATATGCATGCAGATTTCCTCGCGAAAACGCTCGTCTGAACGCAGAATAAAAAGTGATGACGCGGCGCCACTTTTGCGTCTTTTGTTTAGACCGTCATCATATAAACGTAGCCTTAGATTCTAGATATAGTACGGTAGTTAGGTTAGTCATTATCTAGAATTGGATCTGGTGTTTTTTTGCCCGCATAATGGGAGTGATGTTGGTCTTAATTTTCATTTAAGTGGTCTTAAAAAGGTCTTTAAAAAGTCTTACATTTGCGGTAGACACACCTGGGGATACCGTGTTTATTCAATTACAGGTTTTCTAGTTCAAAAATACTTAGAAAAACAGGGATTCTGACTGTGAGTGGGGTCGCCTCTCCACAGATCTGACCTGCAACACTTTGGTTGGTCTGGTTTGGTCTTCATGAAGATAGAAAGATGTTAAACCAAACTTTGAAACATTCCAGACAAAGCAATAACGTCTCCATGGAGAAAAGCATTACACAGTGCACCTTTAAGACCTATTTTTACTACTACTTCTTTTAAGAGATTATTTTAAATGTGTGGGGTGCTTGTTCCAGCCCAGTTTTTCCATGGCTGAACTAAAATTAAGGAGCAGCTATTGGTCATTTGCAGTGGCTCAGTGAAAGTGACAGTGATTAAAGCAGGATGCCTCAGTGAACACAGTAAAAAGCTGTGCAGTCTGAGGACCTCGAGATGTACCATCACTCAAGCTGAAACTCCTCAGCCTGGATGTTTTTTTTATGTGACTGTTCACCCGCCTAATTTCATCACTATTTTTAATTTTGAGCCTATGCACAGCTCTAAGTTAAAGTTGGACTGTGCAACTTTACTAGTGGAGAGTCCGCCACCTGCTTGTCCACCTGTTTTTACTGGCATGGGCTTTTATTCATCTAAAAATTTCCTGTGAATGGGCTCGCCTCTCCACAAATCTGACATGTAACTTGGCCCTGTGGTGTTGCCTGCTGCCTCCATACAAATAAATGGTAATGTAATGCCATACTGTGGAACATTCCAGGCAGCATCTCCATGGAGAGAAGCAGATGACGGACCCTTCACCAGAAAAGTTACACTGCACTCCTTTAAGTATACAGTCTATGCTCTGTGTATGAATGTGTCAGGCTTCTGTGCTTGAAAAATTTACAAGCGATCTCCTTTCTGTTGCAAGTTTGTGACTCTTCAGATATGGACAGCTCTTAGGAACCCCTTAAAAGTAGTGATGTTTAGTCGATGTCCTCATTTATTAAAGCTAGATTCACAAATGAGCTGATTTTCTGCTGTCTCCACAAAGCGGGTGTCGTCAAGTGAGGAAGTCAGGAGGTGGAAAAGTGTAGGTGCTGTAGAGTTTCTGCAAAAATGGAAATATGCAGAGATCTGAACAAGAGCTCTTGCAAATGCAAACCTCAGCAGCCAGTTTGTTAATAAATAAATGAGCACATGCCTTACTCTTGTCATGCGTGGGCAAGAAAAACAAGGAAACACAATTCAAATGTTGTAGACTTATCTGCTGTTAATGTTAAGATGTTCCTCATAGTTTTAGGTCACACACCTTTTTTGACCCACACAGAGCTGTTTTTCTCACAAATCCTGTAGACATATTTATAATGTAGCCGGTGATTCACAGTGGCACTGCCAGCTGTTGGCAGTGGCTGTGCACTGGTATAGGCAGCCAACTTATGACAGTCATTAGCCCTGATTATGTACAGTAATGGTACGGCTACGCATGGAGTCCACTGTAGCAGCAGCAGCAGCAGCAGCAGCAGCAGCAGCAGCAGCAGCCTGTGGGTGTAGTCTCTAATGCTGTATGCCTCATGTTCAGTGTTAGTGTTTCTCTAAAATTCTTGTATTTGATCCATGACCACAAAATGTGCCTGGTGATGGTTAATGTGCATGAAAACTAAAGTCTGAAGTTCTCTCTATGAAGCAAAATATAACTCCAGGAATGTTTTTGATGAGAGAGACAAATATATCATGGTTTAAAGGTCAAAAAAAGTCAATACGTGTTCTTTCAGTGTGGCACAGTTTGGTTTTGAGTTCTGTAGACATGAGACACATAAAGCACAAATGGGGACTTGGCCTGAACCTTTTGATAAGTTATATGATATAACTCATAGAATTATAACAATAAATTACAGAACAGTTTCTCACTCACATGCACACACACGCACACACCCACCCACACACACACGCACACACGCACACGCACACACACACACACATAAATATCTATGTAAGTGAACCTATTTCAGGAAATCTGTCACATTTTTAGCTTTGGGTCTAGAATTATAATGGCAAACTAATCTGACATGTTTTTCTGACATAAACCATTTATCTCCAAATGAGACTACACTGTTGCAGTGAATCAGGCTGCAATTCCACTGAAGCCAGGGAGCAGACAATGTACAATTATGATTTAATTATTATTTTAAGTGGGGCCTATTATGCAAAATCAACTGTTAGCTTTTAATCACATTATAGTTGTTTCCCCTTCACATTTACCCTCTTGAAGTTGTATTTGGCATCATTCATGAATGTTTGAGTAATTTTTATTCTCCTGTATTCAAGACGTTTGTTCTTTGATCAACCCCTGTTTTCACCGCCACTGGCATACGCCCACTGCTCTGTACTCACTTTGTTCTCCAATTTTGTTTTCTTGATCTGTGATGTGTGTAGGATCATTTTGGTGGAAATGGGGGAAAAAAACCCTCAAATCTGCTACTCCCTGTTATGTGCAGCCATCCATTGGAGGTGCCAACAACTCTGTGTTGTGATGACAGTGACGTCAGCTCCCAACTGCACCACAGTTTTTTATCGTGGAAGTCAGCAGACTTCTTTCTTTTTATAAAATTTTCAATCAAAATAGCAAGAAAAATAGGCCTTCTTTAACAGCCCTATTCCGTTCCTAAAGTATAAATGTGTAACACACACAACTTTTTCAATTCAAAATATGGGGTTTGCATGTATCTTACAGCATTTAAATGATGTATAATGATTATTATTAAGGCTTTAAAAAAAAATCGAAAAGCTTCACACTTTTTGTACAAAAGATATGACATGGGTCTTATGTCTGCACTTCTATTCCTGTAACCATCACTGACACTGAGCATGCATCATTCAAGTATTCACCCACAGAGGGAGAGCTGCCAGACCCAACAGCACTTTGCTTTTAGCAGCTTTCCACAGGATCTCACTGCTGCCTGTGCATTAGTCTTCTATTGTAGGAACCTCAAACTATGTCATTTTCTCCACCTCAGTCCTGTCACCTCTCATCATTACTGTGTGTTGACTGTGAAAAGGTACAGTACATGGCTCTTCTACACTTCAGAATTGTCCTTTTGTTTTTTTCAGGTGACTACGTTGGTGAACACGAGCAACAAAGGGCCATCCAGTAAGAAGAAGGGTCGCTCTAAGAAGGCCCATGTGCTGGCTGTGTCTGTCGAGCAAGCCACTCAGAACTTTCTGGAGAAGGGGGAGCAGATCGCCAAAGACAGCCAGGACCTGAAGGAGGAGCTCATCGCCGCTGTGGAGGATGTCCGAAAGCAAGGTCAGATTTGATGTTGTTCGATTAGTTTTTTTTTCCAATACTTTTAACTTTTTAATATGTTTAACTTTCCGCTCTAAATAGACTGTACAGTACACAGCAGTAGCTCAGTTGGTAGAATTTTGTTCACTCATCTGAAGGTTGGCAGTTCAAATCCCAGTCTTGACATAAACATCATTGGTAGAGCGGTCGATCTGTACTTGGGCAAGAACAGTCCTGCTTAACTTACTGTTTACACTGTGCAATGCTCATGAGGGGGAGAGTCAAAATCCTGTCTCCAGACTAGTTCCTTTTTCACAACTGAGAGGCTCATGGGTGGGAGGTGATTAGGCTTGATCTGAATACCTCAAATTGGCATAAAAACTTCCAACTTTTGACGGGAATATGGTCTTACATGAGGAGTACTGTCTGAGTCTGCTTAGTTTGGAAAGGACTCAGGAAAAGGAACCTGTACCTTTTGAAAGGAGCATATGGTCAATCTTTGCACAGTACGTAATGCCTTCAAAATGTGACCACTCCAGACTTAAAACATACAGTGATCTGCATAAACACAATTTATTATAATTTGTTTTAGGACCACATGATTTCAGTTGTTACGAAGATTCTCCAAACTCAGCGTAAATTCTTTCCTAACTGCCTAAGACTCTTGTGGTTGATCCCAAAAGAGTTAAAAGACTAGGAGCTGGAGCTAGAAGCCATCATCACCATTTGGATTTAGCGTCTTTTTTTTCATCTGAAAATCTTTGAAATGTTGCCATGAAACACACTGGATGAATACGAGATATGGACATGTCATTAAAAAATGTTCCAAAAGTATTGTAGGTACAAAATCATTTTTTCTGCAGTCATAAGAAAGAAGAAATATGATCATTGTGCCTTTTAAGTAATTCAAATGTTTGTCCCTAAATGGAATAGGACTGCCTGTTCGATGACTACATCAGCAGAAAAGCAAATGGAGCACAGTGCTGTGTATGTGCTGTTTTCCCCGTTCTGCTCTGTCAGCTACACTTGGTCTTTGCTGCTGTTTAAACAAGTTAAACACTGTCTATGCTGCTACATCACCATGTATTAGACTGTTTCCATACACTGACTCTGCTCCTACATCACCATGTAGTACTGTTCTCATACAGTTTTCAGTTGTTGCAGTGTACTTTTAATTGGTATTAAATTAATTTTAATATAACTCTCAGTTTTAGGTTTCAATATATTGATTTCAACATGTCAGTAAAACCACACACCGCTGCTTTCTACTGAGGACAAATCTTTAGTTCAGCATTTAGAAAAAAGAAGGAGGATTTGAACATGTTGTCACAATGTTCCTAACAGTGAGAGCTGTGTATGATACTTTTTAATGGTGAACAAAGTAGATTATACAGGAAGTCCTGTCCTTCTCCCAGAGGAAGGATTCCCATACATACCAGACAGTGTTCTATATGTGCCTCCAGCGACAAACTCCACTCATCCTTAAAAGCAATGCCCATGAGTCGTCTTTGTGGATATCTTTATGCCTGAAAATGGTTACACTGAGGGGTACTACTCAACAGCACCATGGAGTAGCTCTGACCTTTCAGTTTTACTGTGGAGCTTTCATATCACAACAGGATCCTCTTAAGGGAGCGATTCCAGTGCTCATAATAAATCAAAATGCTGCATGTTAATTGTCCTTCTGTTGTCCCAGGTGAGACCATGCGGATGGCTTCCTCTGAGTTTGCTGATGACCCGTGCTCCTCTGTCAAACGAGGGACGATGGTGCGAGCTGCCCGGGCCCTGCTGTCTGCTGTCACCCGTCTCCTCATCCTCGCCGACATGGCCGATGTCATGAGACTCCTCACGCATCTCAAAATTGTTAGTCGTTAGTCAAATTATACTTACAGTCACAAAGTGAAAAATAATTAGTAACAGGCACAAGGACATTTTGAATGTTAATTTAAATTTATTTGACAGTAGGACTAGCATGCATCCACATTCTCTAAATATATACTTGTAACATGTTTAAAATTAATCTGATGCATTTCAGTTCTTTTACATTTATCAACATAAGATTCCTCTCTCCTGTAAAATCCTACTGAAATAAGAAACACTGGAGCTACAAAGTGACCAGAAGTCCAGTATGTTTCAACCCATTGTACGTACACATATAGATGTATAGATGAGGAACGGGCCATTCTTGATATATAATGTCATCACTTTTCTGAGGGGCTGTATTTTAAGTAAGCACAGCACACTTACGATCAGTCACAAGAGTGACCTCTGATTTATAGTCCGCAATACAGGAGAAGTACTCCCTCATTGGCCACAAAGAGTTGGTTCATGTTCTAAAAGTTTAGCACCATGTCTTAGTACTATCATCACTGAACGATTAATAGTGTTATTAATACTACTATCACTAGACGCGCCTGACAAAAAGCATATTGATCTATTGTGTTGTGACAGGTGGAGGAGGCTTTAGAGGGAGTAAAGAATGCCACCAACGAACAGGATCTGGCTAACCGCTTCAAGGAGTTTGGAAAAGAGATGGTGAAGCTTAATTATGTAGCAGCCAGGAGACAGCAGGTAAGAGCGAAGATGATCAGTTGTAATGTGCATTCTTCTACAACAGCAGAGTTTATTGTGATGTACAATGCAGCGCACTGCCACAACTGGGAAAGAAAAAATGTATGAGAGTTAGGGCTGGGCAATTAATTTAATTATTTTGGTTCATTTGGATTTTTAATGGTTGAGGTAAAAAAAAATCAAGGATTTTTATGAAAAAGTTTACTCCTTGACTTACTTGAAAAACAAGGATATTGTGCAGTTACGTACAATTCAGTCTATAAACAGGTAATTTAAGGTGGTTTCTTTTCTTAAATAATAGCATATAAGAAGAATAAAAAAGTACAAAGCTTCAGCTGTTTGAAAGACCATAACCCCCAGCACTAGTGAGCGTTAAAAAAAATTGCAGATCATGTGCATCAGTGTGATTGGAGCGAAAGGATAACACATGATTGCTTTTCTAATACAACTCAAGAGTGACAAAAGGGACTTGACTTCATACTAACTTATACTAACTTCATACTTTTCTGTTGGCAGAACTGTAGCCTGCGCCATGTTCCTGCAGCTACTGAAACCTGTTCAGCTTTAGGGATGCTCATCTGCTGACACTGCAGAGTTCATTTAATGTTGCACAAAGTGCTTTTTCAACACTTGAGCTAATGTTAGACTATTTAATTTGGGAGGCCACTGCTGTATACATCCTGCCCGTTGTAAAGACCTAAACAAAGAATGTTTTCCAGGAGCTCAAAGATCCCCAGTGTCGAGATGAGATGGCCGCTGCTCGTGGGGCCCTGAAGAAGAATGCCACCATGTTGTACACAGCCTCACAGGCCTTTCTGCGCCACCCGGATGTGGCTGCCACCCGCGCCAACCGGGACTACGTGTTCAAGCAGGTGCAGGAGGCCATAGGGGGCATCTCCAGTGCAGCCCAGGCCAACTCTCCCACTGAGGAGAAGCATGGACACGCCGGCATCGGGGAGCTAGCAGCTGCTCTCAATGAGTTTGATGTAAGTACTGCTCTCTTGTTTTACTACACTGTTTTGGTCTAAAGAAGATGATAAATAATACACGATAAGCACAAAGGAGCTCAACAGTGATCACCCGCTCCGTTTCTGGAAGTAAACTTTCTTTTAATTTTTCCCTTAGACTTTTCAAAAAAATCAAATATTAAGAGTTCAAAGGCATAGCAGAGCCTAACCAGGTAAATGGTAACTGATATCCATAACATGGTTGTTTTAAGCACAAAAAGCACATTTTATGAAAATGCTAAATTCTGTGAAACGTCGCAATAACTCCAGAAACTGATTTTAAATAAAATTATTGTGGTCATTAGTCACCACTTAGCTGATTATGCCTGAGTGAGCTTTCAAACTTTTAATATTACTGTTTTTAGCTGGAAAGTCTGGGAAATTAATGAGAAATGTATTTCTGGAACCAGGGGGTTAGCTCCATGGAAAGAACACGGACACGTGTTAAGCAAATTAACTGATTACCTTTTCCATAAGACAAACAAAAATAACATCTCCCTCAAGTTTTGTAAAGTTACTTTGTTATACATTTACAGTATACATTCCCTCTTCTGAAGGAATTTTGCGTAGTTTGTCAGTTTCAGCACATTTAACTTGCACAAGACTTAGTTTGGCTCTGACAATTTGGCTGTAATACTACATGTGATACAAAATATATTTTCTTGCTGCCATCTAGTGGTTACCAGATAATAATGCATTCTTTCAGATCAATATAGTGCTCTATTATTGTGCTTATTATAGATGATATCATTGATGTCCGACACTATATTACATATATTTCACTTAATATTCTGAAAGACAAAAAAAAAACAAAACAAAAAAAAACACTCTTGACGTTCTTCAGGTCAAAGTCAAAGCTTTTAGTTGATGCTTACAACTAAACTGAATTAACTCTTCACAACTCTAGCACAGTGACTGTTTTGCTTTGAAGTATTTACTGTAATCTCATTAGGCCATCGTGTATATTTCATGGTATCAAAGCTGTTGACCTGATGGTATTTGCAGTAAGACAGTGACCCCTTGTGGTGATGTTGGAGCATTACTGTGAAGTTTTTTTGTTTTTGTTTTTTTTTTCTTTTGCAGCAACAGCATGTTGTTGGGCAAAAGCAGAAGGATGCATACACCTAGACAGTGACATTTCCACCAAACCGGAGCATGGGCCCATCAGAACGGCATTGATTGTGTTTTATGTAAAACAGAACAACCTTTTAGAAAAGCAAAAGTGCAGCATAATTCCATTTCATTTGGCAGACATGGCAGACAGGCAGCAGTTAAATGAGACAAATTGCCCTTTGCTTAGCCCCCTGTGCTCGCTGAGGCTGATGCATGTTTAATTCCTATCTGACGCAGAGCTTGGTCAGAGCCGATCAGAATAGTAATGGGCTCATATACCAGACGAACCTGTGGGATTTCATTTGGACCGTCTCGTGTCTTTGCAGTTTGTGATTGGTCTGACTGCAGATTTACCAGCATATGTTGTTTTCAGGATGTGTGTTCAGATTATTCTCTCACCCATGGCTCATACGACACGCTGGCTCTGTCTTCAGTAATGGATCTTTCCTCGCTGCTGCAGTGAGGAGGATCGTGCTTTCCTTGGTTTGGACACTGCTCTGTCCTCATCTGTTTATGTTACATAACTTTGCTACATCTGAAATTATTTACATTTCAGGGTAAATGACAATATAACTTACGTAAGAATGTTATTTTATGCATTACTCTGGCCACTTTCCTCTGGTGTTTTTAGTTTTCAAGCTTGTCAGTATGTATAGTCGTTCATTTTTGCATTGCAATTTTGCACATAGCACAGACATATTGTTAAGATTTTTATTACATTTAAAATTACTTGTATTATTGAAAATTATGAAAACCACTAACTGAGATCTCCAATAAATAGTAGGCCAATGTTTTTTTTTATTTAAAGTTTTGAAGAACTTCACAATTTGACCTAATATGGCATTGACTTTTAACATTCAGTAAAACATTTCAAATTGGCTAAAACAGGGGTCTCCAACCTGTAGCTCAGGAGCTACTGGTAGCTCTCCACTCCCTTTCAAGTAGCTCACCAAGGGATTTATGAATTGAATGAATTTATGAAAGTATTATGCTGAATAAGTCAAATTTGATTATTTAAATGGCTATTACTATTGTACATGTATCATTTTGATGCCTAAATTTGTACACTAATAAATGAATAATGATTTATGTTTTATAGGCATCTAACTGTACCTCATTTAAGGCTCGCTGTGGCCCTTATATTTACTCAATTTCTTGTGACCACTAAAATGAGTAGCTCTCTTGTCATCTCTGTTTTATAAAAGTAGCTCACCGGAGGAAAAAGGTTGGAGACCCCTGGGCTAAAACCTAAGCATTTTAGCACTTTCCCTGTTTAAATTTAAGTTCTTATGTAAAAATCAATTTTTTTGTCAAAACAAAATTTTTCTGATACATTTCACTCTAATATCAGCATTTCACTACATGACATCTGCCATGTTACCGAATGACGGTTCAACTGAAATACAAAAAAAAGGCTTTTCTTTTGAAACAAACAGTGTGAAAACTCAACCAAATCGCACTAGCAACATCTAACTATCTTTAATATATTTACTGTCCCATTGAATTTTGAATAATTACTAATTAATCTACCAAACCTAATCTCCTTCCCTTATGTGATTTATTTTCCACCTTCCACGGTGGTAGGTCTCTGTCACCCTCATTCAGCTCGGCTCCTCTACCAGAAGCCTGGGAGCCTGAGAGTTCTGTGCAGTATCTTTGCTGTTCCCAGTACTGCACTTTTCTGGATTGAGATGTCCTTTGTTTTTCCCGGTATCTGTTGTAGCCACTCTTCCAGTTTGGGGGTTACGGCCCTGAGTGCTCCGATCACCACGGGCACCACTGACGCCTTTACTTTCCAGACTCTCTCCAGCTCCTCCTTGAGTCCCTGGTATTTCTCTAGTTTCTCGTGTTCCTTTTTCCTGATACCATCACTTGGTATTGCGACATCCACCACCACGGCTCTGCTCTGTTTCTTATCCACCACCACTATGTCGGGGTGAATAAGAAAAACCATCACTGAAACATATATACACTTTAATATAGTAGCATATATAGTTTTATCTGTATAATAAATCATGCAAATAAAATTGTAAAAGAAATGCAGATGTTTTTTAGTTAAATGTTTAATGTTACCTACAACAGTCACAGGTTTGTCTCACCAAATGACAAATTCTGTTTCACTGAATGACAATTTTTGTGTTACTGAATTACATTTTTCATACATTTTCATTCTAAACTGGTTTATACTTTATCCATCAAAGAGAAACAAAAGCATCAGTGCTGACTGCTCACACCAAGCACTGATTTCAAATGTAATATTTACGAGCAGTTTTAAGCACATTTTGAACATTGCACTGAATGACATCCAAAATTGTGGCATTTATACTTCTCCACAAAGGCATCACCAGCAAAAAGTAAAAAGCCAAATCTGCATCTTGTTTCCACTTTAGAGTCCAGCATGGTCCACAGAGTGATGTCAGCACTTGATACATGGGGCTTCTGGACACAAAAATGCCAACGTCAGGTCACTGACCCAAATATACTAAAGCATGATCGAAAACTGTACACAGTAACTTGACAAACCTGATGCAATGTGCAGTTTCATTAGCAGGATGCAGCTAATTGTGGAAGGAGAGAGTTAGTGTAAAAAAAAACAAAAGTGAAGCTTTTAAAACATGTTAATACTTTATTTTCGGCATATTTGGCATTTTCAAATCAATAAAAGGAAACTTGGTGATGTAAATATGTTATGTGGTAGAAATGAAATAGAGATTGTAGTTTACAGAGAGATATTTTTGTATAAGCAGGGTTGTAACTAAGTGCAGGTGTCACTTTGTTCCCGTGGCCCCACCATATGGGCCCCGCACTGGACATGGTTGAGTTTAGTGGCTCAGGTGCTCCAGAACATGTACAGGTTGAACTCAAAGGTTACATATTAATTTAAGTGCTGACCACAGATGCAGCTCTGAAATAACATCAAAGGGCAACTATTGAGTGTGACCAAAAAAGTACACAAACTCACCAACACCCGTGGTACACAAAACTAGTTACAGTCAGTCAGCTGAGGCCTTCAAAGAAAACCTACTGTGCTTGTTTCTGCTATATAGCTACAGTCTCTGACACCCATAGATCATTGTTATAATCCGTATGTTTTCATAATATCTAGAACGACTTGATTTAAAAAAAACAAAAAAAAAACGAGTCCGCTCACTTTGCAGTAGAAAATTCCCATGCCCAGTGAGAGCTGTCATTGCTGTAAACATCATGACAATAAAGAGTCCACACCTCTGATGGATACCTGCACATTACACTAGCAAGCAGCAGTTTTTTTTTTATTTATTTGTATGTATGTGATGCTGCAGAATCCTATATGCATCACCAATTAAGAAAATAAAACTGAAGAATGAACTAAGTACAGAGCAGTGGGTTTATGATAAGAACTGGGGTAGGTCTGCAATATGGCATCTTGAAAATAAGCAATTTAAAGATTGCACAAACATGTACTAATCACTCCAGATACTATTTGGGATGAGTAAATGAAAGGAAACAACTATAACCTGGTTAAAAGTTGATTTTGCATAATAGGTCTGCTATAATTAAAACTCATTTTAGTTATTGCTATTGCCATTATATTGCTTTTATATTTTTAATTATTGGTAATACTATTAGGTTGTACTTGAATTCTGTAATTCTTTCTAATCCCAGTCCCAGATATTCTCCTTATGCCAGTCCAAAACTGCAGAAATAAGAGCAGGTGCTACATGAAATTCAAGTGTGCATAAAAACGGGAAATAGTCACTGCAAGAAGACAGATCATTTGAATTTCCAATACCACAAAGAAAAATGCAAGAGGAGAGACGCACCTCTAGAGGCATAAGTGTCCTATTGCAATGAGTGTCGTTATGTGTGGGTACAGATGGAGTTCA